CGCCCACGTGGGCAACCATGAATACTGTTGAATGGTTCAAGGTTGTTTTTTTCTCCTTCGAAAGTTTGCAGATGTCTTATGTGATGGAAAATGTTCAAAATTAATTTGGTTTTAGATAAACAGTGTCTCCTCTCGCCACACGCTTACCTGCTGTATACTGTGTACTTCCACACACAAAAACAAACGGAAAAACGTACTTGTAAGTATGTGGCTCCGTTCCTGTTCAAATACACGCTTCTTTTGTTTACACACGAGGGAACTTGTGGGTAACATGTGAAGGGTTTCCACTAAAGCAAAGTGCTGTAAGCATAAGTTTCAAATGTTGTTTTGGCCCAAAACTATTAAGAAATTCGAACGTAGAAATTTTCTTGCAATAACATGGTAAATCACACCTTTGAAGATTGTGCGATATCTGCAAAAAGGTAGTGAATTGCATTTAGTTGTCGATGTTTGTACATGCATGGATAAAACTTCTCTTGTTAACCAAAATTGGCAGTACCGAAAGGAAGTATCGAGCAGAAAAGCAATATACGTCTGTCTTTGGCGTACAAGAACTGTGCCGTTTGTTAAAAAACCTATTATTGTTTAAGTTTCCCTTTTTGTAAACCCTGCACAATGCAGTTAATTATCTCCTATGCATATATGTAAAAGTACACCCGTAACAGTTTTTATCGTATCTTATTAGAAACTCGTTGCGTGAATTTTACATCATAAGATGTGACAAATATAAGGCCTAAAATGTCGCCATTATTTCTGACACGTGCTGGTTCAATTTTTCTTCTTACTTTTAAGGAGAAGTGTCAATGTAATGCACGTCATTTTTTAATTAGATGGCTTTCAAATGTGGTTTTTCCGGGGCAGCCAAATTTAAATAAAGCTTGAGAAGGTGTCACTTTTTTCGGGTCGTTTTGTCACGGGTCGTTGTTAAAACTCGCCTCTTCTTTGGCAGAACTCTTTGCACTCTTCAACTTCTTGAAGTCATTAAGCATGATTGAGTTTTGCAAGATGATTGAGTTTTTCATGCTTGTTTGATAACAGCGTGGTTGTTGATGGATCTGTGCAAAAAAAACTAGTTAAATTACGCTTAAAATATTCTTTACAGATAGATTCAGGTAATCCGTCTTAAAGAAAAGAAAGTTAATATTTGAATGCCTTAAAAGACAAAGAACTATACTGGTGACTCATTTCTTAGAATCCTGCATGTATGTGTGAGTTCTAAACTTGCGCAGAGCGTAAGGTGTTTCTAGGTGTTTAAATCTTCTGGTTAAGTTTCAATTTCAAAGTTTTAACCATTTCTGAGTTTTTAACGTACTGCTTTGTAAAGAATTTGCATGAAAGAAAATTTCTCTGTGAATCAGACCTGCCTAAGATTAGATGCACCGTCTTTTTTTAGAGCTCACCTATAAAATGTTTCTTTGATTTAGCAGGCAGCTGAACTGAGTGGTACATATCACGCAGTTTTAGTGAGTCCCTTCCCTGTTCTCTTTCTATCATTTTTCTTTTATCATCATCACTGTTATTCTGATCTTTCTTTTCCGTTAATTTTTTTCCTTCCTGCCTCAGTGCGTTCTCTTTCAAAGTAGTCGTTCCATTTTTCACAAAGCAAAATACTTAATGCGACCAGGTTAAAAACAAAACAAAAGCAGAAACAATAATTGGCTCAAGGTAACGACAAAACCAATTATTTCTACTGTAACTGTACCTCTTGTACTTTTCTTTCGAACTCCAAACAATTCACGGCATCAAATGGCTCAGTGATTTCTACAAATTTCTGTTTCTGGTGTTTCTAATTCTCTAAGAGTTTTTCAGCTGCTCTTTGTATCATAAACGAAGTCAAATAGCGTGATACATATAAATGATACTTAGGGTATAATACGTAACATCTCCAAGGTATCCGCTCGAATACATGATAGTATGCTACTAGATAAATCAAGCACTTTCTTTTTGTCGCAACCAGTCCCTTGACAGTTAGACCAAAGAGGTGTACGAAGCCTCGTTAAAAGTATCACATTCGCTATCTCTTTAGTCTACTCTCCCAAATTGTATGAATTTAGGTCATCTACTTGACTTGTCACCTGAGAAATTTGACCTGCGATTTTTTTTTTGTTTTTTTTGTTTTTTTTTTTTGTTTTTTTTGTTCTTAAGGAGGTTTGGTGATCATAAGCCTGAAGTTACAGTATTAGTGTCTTCCTATGAAAGAGCCTAGAGCTAAGAATTGTTATTCAGTATTCTCGTGGCCGCACAACCACTAGAGATGCATTGACATGATAGACATTAAAAGAACAGAAATACTTCAATTCTGCGCTTCAGTTACATATATCTTCTGCACCAATATGCGAGATTTAGGTATCTCAGGAAAGAATCGTAATGACGGTAAACAAAGGCACCCTTAACGTCTAGTTCACCGACATTAGTTTAAGAGGTGTGTAGTTCTCGTGAGACAAATTTCTCATCAAAACAATATAATCTGATAAACAAAAAGACTAGTTGTTATATATTTTAGGAGCAATTTCTTATCGAGAAGGGAACTATTCAAACAATATGAACGAAAATGCCATGTTTTAAAATTTTATCTATACGTTTCCGGCCTGGCCGTGAAATCAGGTGCAAGATTTATGCGCGCGATAGACTAAATTTTCTAATCACATTTAATTTTTCTAAGCATCACAACAAGACAATACCGAATGTTCTAATTATAGAGAAACGCTGGTTTATCAAACAGCTTTTGATTTTTTTCCTGACTCTGCGATTATTTTTATTGTGTCCACGCCCAGGCACGTCATACCATTAATTTGCCTCGGCAACGTAGCAGTTTGCAGCTAAGAGCTTAGCTATAACAAATTATAAAGAAAACCCCCTGAAAAACACAGCCGTATTTATGCTTTAACCTTCTTATAATACTTACGATTAGAATGACCGAAACCTTATTTCTGATGCATTTCATGACATGAAAAACGTTCGATAGGTGTTGCTTAGTGGACCGTGAGAATTTCCTCATTTTCGAGGCAAAATTAACTTGTTGTGTTTACTTCACCTGAGGTTTATAAATAAAGCTGGTTTGAGCACAAATTAGTCACAAACCAGCATGCATAAAGTATTTATCTTTTGAAACTAGGACCTGCATCAGCGTAAGTGGAACCAGATGTTCTTGTTGTTTTAAGCCATTCTGTGTTCACCTTTAGCTTCCATTTAGCCTGCCTTAAATAATCGCTACGCAAACAAACTCTCCTAGAAAGCTGTTTTTTCACATGATTGTTTGGGATTTCGTAAAATGGTTGGGCAAACTGAAAACACTGAAGAAATCTAAACAGACCGATTTTAGAATGCATTTTGTTCGAACCTCATTATGCGTGCAGGTCCGTGTATCTAACTTTGAGCCAAAACTAATTGGAACGTGTATTGTTTTTCTTGTTTTCAGTTGTAAAAACATTAATCTTCACCTGGATATCAAATAATGAACTTTGACAACGGTGCTACAGGTGCACTTTCAGGCTGAAGCTCTTAGCCACACCCTTTTTTAAATCTTTGCAAAGCTTCACACAACGTTTTTGAGCACAAAAATATTTCGTCGAGATATAACATTTGGGTGGTAATTAAATGGATGATACTATTCTTTAATTTGCCTTTTCACTTTCATTTTTGCATCGATGCTAGGAAATTCATCTCTCGGGAAGGCGATCCTAGAGAAATTATACCTGCGTCGATTTCTCTTTTGTCATGCTAAATAAGTTGAATGCAAATTTTTCGTTAAGTGCATGGGATACGTTCAGGGTCTTTTTAAACGATCCCCTTATTATCACGTTATGCTTTTGATTTCTTTTGATTAAAGTTATCGTCCATGGATTTATCTGGGATCCAATTTGGTTATGTTCTGTTATGGGAATTCAACATCGTTAAAGACATTGGGAAAACAAAACATCAAGAAAGTCAGAATGAAAGAGCGTTGTTCTGTATTGTAGGTAACAGAGATAGTTGGAATTAAAATAGGTTACGACAAGTTCGGAGCCTCGGGGTTTTTCAAAAATAGGAATCTATCGAAACCCAATACTTAATGAGTAAAATAGCCACACTTTTGTAATTTTAACTTCGGAATAATCGTCTTAAGATCTATCCATTGTGCTTGGTAAAATAACTGAAAGCTTTGAATTCTCGTTTCTTTAACTACACAGAGTCACTACCAAAAGCGTGGCTAGCGATGAGTCGTCGCTGGACTCTATATTGTATATCAAATTAAAGTTTCATTGACTTTTCATTGACTTTTTCATTTTGGCTCCAGTCCTAAAGGTAAATTTTTATCCTACAGAATCATCTGGAGCACCTCCCTCAATACGCTTCTATTTTCCATCGTAAAAGCAGGGATGACCGACAGAACAATAACCTTGTATGCACCCCTGAACAAATGTTAGATAAGGTTCTGATTTTCCGGCCGATAAAATAAAAAGCAGGACGTCAGTGTCATCTAAACGTAATAGCCTCTTTTATGTAAAACACAATTTCTTAGCCTCTTTCGTGAGGAAGCTTACACCGTCGCTCCACCGTTTTAAACAAACCTCGAAGGACGGGCTAATGCTAAATTAAGCAATGAGAAATCTATGCCATGAAAAGTTTTCGATGTCACGAAGTCTCGCCAACCCTAATAATAAGGTATCTATAATATTACCATAAAAATTATGACACAAAGAGGAGTTTTCGAGTACCTTAGCATTCCCCATGAAATACGCTTAGTGTGCACCCTCTAAAAACTAGGTTTTTCATCGAATTTTGATGGAGTGGATCGGCGGAGGCAAACGTTTTTTTTATTCTTTTTTTGGTCGGTTTGATCTTTCTTTTTAAGTTACGAAATCGACGGGAGAAACTAAAGGGTAATGATTTCGTTTCATCTGACTAAAGAAGCTTTTTAGATTAAGTTTCTCAAGGGTGGTTGAGAGTTTGGCTTAACTTGACAAGGGGGTGGAGTGGAGGAGTTGGGCCGTGAATGATCAGTTAATTAGGTTACCACATGGTCAGCTTCCTTGTCACAGTCATGTAAAAGTCAACCTACAGTTAACTGTACTGCATTGTCTGTGCTAAAGGAGTTGTTTGTTCACGGTAAACGAAGTACAGGAAGCTAATTTATAACTCCGTTGAATGGAAAGAGTTAAATCACGTGTCAACAACAATAGCTTTAGTAGGCTTTCATAATGTCTTACCTTACCACTACAAATGTTACTGAACATTAACTAATAGTTCAAAGCGTCACAAGATCGTTCTTCATAATTAAAATTGTAACTTCAGTATAACCTCTACAAACTCCATAGCATTATTTTTTTTACATAGTATTATTTAGCAATTATTCGCCTCAGGCTCGGTGAATATTGTTGAATAATAACCGAGACGAAGTCGAGGGGATTATTCAACAATATTCACTGAGCCTGAGGCGAATAACTGTTTTAGTATAATTGCTGAGATGCTTTCGAATTCTGTTTTAGACTCGCCTAAGAAAATTTAAAATTGTAAATTTTTTTACCATTGTTTGGATTACTCGTATCAAGATAAGCGGCCAGTTTCCACTGGAATTTTACAGGTTCATTCATTCCACCTGCAAAAAAAATCATATCTTTCTGTTGAAAACTGTTACGCCAAACTTGTTAGCATCTTTTTTTGCGTTTCAGAATGATATTTTCTTCCAAAAAAACGTGAGGCAGCCATTTTGAAATTTAGCGCCTTTGTTCTAATAACCTCGTGCGAGGTGATTAAAGCGACATATGACGCAATCAGCGACCAATCAAAGTGCGCGTATCTCAATAATCACCGGAGCAGTTCTACTAATGTCACTTCTTGCCAAGGATTTAGTCTGATAAGCCGGTACATTTGAATACAGTTAATTAGCAAATAGTAACTTACTGTTATCTTTTTAATTTAGGTGGAATTAAGGTTTTCCAAGGACAACTTACGACGGCACTTTGTAACCATTCATTCCAAACAAAATGCCATTTTTTCGCACAATAATTCTAAAACGTCTCGCCGGATACTGTTAGGGGATTAGTCTTAACTATCTTATACAAAGGCGATATTACATCGCGAGAAGTGCAATTATCACTACAGCCATTTTGAAATCGCAAAGTTCTATCTCCCAAATAGGATTTTTAGTTAGTTTCAATATTCCTTTGATCCAGCACTGAGCCTGATTGTTAAAAAAAGAGGAGCCGGAAGTTAAATTCACCCATTTTTTGGAAAAAAAAGTTTTGAAATCTGATTTGCTTCTCTTTTTCAATATTTCGTTCACACATGCATAGGTTGGAGGAAACACAATGCGATTTAGAGCAAGCGATAGAACGAGCCAAGCACACTGCAAGGATTACCGGTGATTTAAAAATGGGTTAATTGAAACTAAAATAATTTTGATAATCTTGATTTCTTTGAACAAAATTATGGAAAGAAGCGTTTTAAACTTTGAAATTAAACGCGAAGCCACATGTTCATCCTTATTGGTGGCGTAGACACATTTACTTTTGCCAAAGCTCAATGAAGGAGCATATGTCTGACCAAGAACAACTAACGACAACACAAAATAAAAATTACAAGGACAACAACTACAACTACTAACGCTACCATTACTGCTTTTACTATACTACTACTACTATTACTGCTACTACTACTACTACTACTACTACTACTACGACTACAACTACTACCATTGGTCGCCAAGGGGCTCCTTAGCATTTTCAACATAGTTTGCGATTGAAAATCGATCCTCGGTGAAAGTAGGTCGGCTAAACGAAAGGTCAGTTTCGTGTGTCTTAGTGTTTTGAGGCATTATGCTACAAGGTTGGTTGCTCGCTGGCAAGAATCCATCAACAGAAAAAAAATCCTTCTCGGTGAAAAAGCGCATGGTACCTAATTTTCAATGATCAGAACAGTGCCTGCGTTCGAGGGAATAAAATTTGGAACCAAGCAGAACCGTGACACATAATCGACAGCTATGCAAATGGCAGATGCTAAATGAATGGCATAGAAATATGTCTTTAGCAGCCAGATTAAAGCAGTTCTTATGCAAACAGAACACATCAAAAGTCTTTTTTCTTTTGCCGCCATTCTCTGCATTGCCGTGGTCCTCGATCCTACTAAGGTGTGGTGATTGCAGACGTGCTGCTTCTGACAGTTTTAAGTGAGAAGTGTTCCAACAGTGAAATCTGCGACGTTGCACTCGGAATCGCCGATTCCGACGTCTTAAAAGTTTTATTTATGTAAAAAGCGGGCATCTGATTATGGGATAGCTGAGTAGGTTGCCATGAACGTGACAAAAAATTAAAGGAACAAGGTAGTCGGCGAGGTGTTAGTTCCTTCAGTGCCTTGCGGAAGTTTTTGTTGACCAGTGAATAGATCACAGGATTTGCAGACGAATTGATCGCAACAAATAACACAAGGACGAATATGGTATCATTATAGTATCTATGATCGACGACCACTGGCCAGGAAGCAAGTACAATACGCATCGCATTTAAAGGAAGCATGGTTATGGCAAACATCAAAACTAAAGGCGTTAAGACTTTCCTCACTCGTTTGTTCTGCTGAAGTCGCTCTGCCTCAACTCTGGACCAACGTAAAACTTTATCACTTGATTGTGAATCGCCGTTTTGTTTCATTTTCATGTCCTTCAGAAATTTGGTGCTGCGAGAAATTCTGCGTGCTATCCCAATATAAGTCAGTGCTATCACAGAAAGTGGCAATATATAAGAGAGCAACGTTAAAGCAGCGATATACGTGCGCAATAAAATACGCGTTTTATCCCAGTGAGGCCAAACTGGACCACAATACTTCATTTGGTCGTTCTCCAGATATCTGTAAACAATGTTGAGTGGAATAGAAAAGAAGCAGTACGACGTCACCCACACAAACCCGACTACGATTTTATCCGTTCTTAGGGAAGTGTTTTTTTCGTCACTGCGTTTGGCTTGAAGAGCGAGGACCTTTCTATATCTTTGAATGGCAATAATTGCAATAAACCATATAGATGATCCGATGGTTGCGTCAGTGAAAGGACACAGGAGCAGGCAAAAAAATTTTCCAAGAGGCCATTTAAATGGAAGTTTCTGTTTGATTATTCCTATAGGCAATGCTAACAACAGGTAGCTGAGATCTGCAATGGCCAAGTTAAGAAGATAGAGATCCACTCCTGTTTTCTTGCCCATTTTACTAATGATGATTGTCACGAAGACGTTACCAACTACACCGAACAAAGCAATTAACAATTCTACACTTAGTTTTAACACCTCTTTGAGGGGCATATCTGCCTCTTCCAGCCTTGCCGTAGTATAATTTTCGAGGGTATGTGTCTGAGCAGAGCTTGTTACATTTGAGTTATATGTTGTGCTTCCACAATGTGTTGTAGAGCAATTCTGTAAAAGTTCGGTCGACATGTTCCTTCGCCCTTACCTTGTGAGACTTTAAAACGAGACTATTACCTGTGCCTTTCCTCGAGTGAGAGTTGGAGAGATGTCGGTGTGCGTTTCGTACGCCCTTTGGTGAACTTCAATTAATCTCTTGGGAAGATTTGGAAACTCCTCGCACTCGCTTCCTTCTGCGAGGGATTGAAGATAGATAGCGTTATCAAAACGACAACAATTTTTATACCTGATGAATTCAAATTATGATCATAGAGCTTTCAAAAGAGCCATTTGGAGCAGCTTTCCAACAGAGCTGAACCCTTTCATGTGGTTTATTCCGTTTATGAAACACCAAAAAAGAAGAAAAAGTAAAGATTGACATCTCTGAAATAGCCGAGCATCCTTTTAGATGTTCCTTTCATAGAGCCCTCGGGGTTTATCAATATGGTGTCCCCAACTGTTTCGCTGTTAATTGGAAAAAGCTAAAACATAGAATGATGATATGAAAGGCTTCATCATTTAGCTGATACGTTTCTACGTCTGTACAGGGCAATATCCGTTGATATAGTGGTATCTTTGATATTCTGCGTCGAACATTATTAGCTACTGACATTTTACGAAAAAAAAAGGTAAAAAGAAAAACTTAATCCAAAAGGAAAAGATATCGATCAAAAAAAGGTGTTCTGCTTTCAACCAGCGTGCAATTCAACAGATGTTCATAAGCTGTTAGAGGTGGCTCGATATTTCTAAAGCCACTCGAAGATTGGACGTGCTTCGTAATTAACGTAAAAAATGATAAAAATAAACTGTTATGGACAACTGTTAGATACCATGGGGTATCTAGCACGACAAATGATAACTAGATGTACATTAGGAAATCACCTTAATTGCTCAAACAATGCGGCCTTTGACTAAAAATGTAGGTTCAAGGGGTGATATTGCTTTCATACATCACTTCAACGTTTTTCTTCAGTCATACCTGATGCAAATAGATCTGACCAAATGAATCCGGTTAAGTTTGCCTTTTGTAAGAACCAGAGCAATTCGTAATAATAAGTATTGCATGAATCAAAAATTAAAATTTCATCCTGTTGAAATGAAACCAATCGACTATCTAAGCGAAATGAAAATAATGCGAGTAAAAAAAAAAAAAAGTAGACAGAGGAAGTACTTTACCCATCAAACTAGCGGCTTTTTAAGTTAATAAAACTAAAATGAAATATTGGGTCATTTCAGGAAGGAAGTCAAGGCGCGTTAATTGCACAGATTTCCGTATGCAAATTTCTTGTGGTTGAAAACGCCATTCTGAGGTTGTCCTCTACGAATTTTTGAAAACTATGAAAAGAAAGCTCAACTGCACCAGAAAATGCATTTTTGATTTTGTGGCCAAACTGAATGCTAAGAGAAATTTAGGAGATTTTCCATATGGGAACATGTATATGTAATTGAAATAGGAAAATGTAAACATCAATCTTGTCTCGAAGACCTCAAGAAAACTGGACAAAACAGAACAGAACAATATTCGCTGTGATAGACTTTTTGATCTGTGTGATTTTTCTTTTTCTCTTTTTCGGGAAAAATGATGAACAAAAATACATTTGCTGTGAAAGTGTAGTTTATAAAAATTTAATGTTCCTTTTCATGTCGGATTCAAACACAGCAGGCGCCAACCCAACATGAGTTTTCAATTTGAGTTTTGAAAGGATATTAGGTAAATTTAGCGGAATCCTGTTTGAATTAATGTGATGGTAAAAGTGCCGTGTAAATCGGAAACTTTGATTGTATCAAGTATAAGTAAAACAAGACAAATAGAAATTAAAAAACCTCGCTGACCTCACGCAACACAAATGTTGGTAACAACATCTCATTTGCATTTTAAACTTAATTATAAAATATCATTATCGATGGAATATTCACTTTTACAATTTCAAAGGCACGATAAATTAAAGTTTAACCACGGGTAAAAAGCTATTCTTTAAACCTTAAATGAATATCAGCATGTTCGTTATTGAATTTGCAAAGCTCACGTTCAATGTGCGTCAAATACTAAAAGGGGATTTTTTGTACTGAAAGTGCCTAAGTTACTGATCTCAGCCAATGAGAATTGCTTATTTATTTTGAATGTCTATGTAAATCAGTAAGCTTTAAACGATGATCATTGAGAATCCCCTGATTTTGAGCATTGTTTGAAAGAAATCTTGTCGAGGCATTTGCGAGAAAAATATTTTGAATCCAAGTTGGCTAAAAAACAGAAAACGGTTTCCATGACATGACGTCTCATTGACCAATAGCATTTTTGGAAATTTTAGAATGTTTCACATGATAGAAAAAATATATTCTGGTGTGTAAATTCATTAAAGATGTAGAATGTAGATCAAGTCTCCCATATCTCCCAAGATCACCAAGCGAAAACAATAAAACAGTGGAAGTAGACGTTTGCTGCAAGTAGTTTGTTACAAAATTTGTTTCCCACAATTTTTTTTTTTTTTTTTTTTACTGTAACTAGATATCCCAAGGTCTTCAGAGTCTCTTTCATTGGCATTTAAAGTAGTCCATATGATTAAAATTGTTTCAACGTTTTCTCTTTGAAACATGGGTGAGGTTAAGCGCGACATTTACGGAAAACAGGAAAAAGCAAAATGACCTCCTGACCAATTTTTCCCGCTATTTTTGAAGTTTGCTGTTTGTTCTATGCTGTTTTTCAACGTGAAGGAAGGAGGCTTCACCTTTATGAAGACATGAGTAAAATGTTTATTATTTTATGCTTTTGTAAAGCATTATAAATCGTGTGCTTCGGAGTGAAGCTTATTTATTCCTTTTTTGAGGTTAAACAACTGTTTTGTATTGACTGAATTATCTGAAAAAATGAAAAAAACTTCAGCGCCGTGAGGTTCGCACTGCTCTTTGTTTGTAAAGTGCGTTCCAAGTTCGTGCCGTAATTGTAAAGTAAGATAGTTTGAAGACGTTGCAAGGAAATTATTAGAAATCCTTTTAAAATGGAAGGATAGTATATTACTTGTGCAGTCTTGTTTTGTAGGATAGGTTTTTCGTTTCCGAAGGCCGCCTAAAGGAAGATGAAAACTGCATTTGCTTATTTTATAAGGTAAAAACCGCTCGTACTTCGAATTTTGAAACTTTTAGAAATTTCTCCTTTAAAACAATTCGTTGGAAACATTCTTTTTTTTTTCCTGAATTTGTTATGGGACCGTCCATCGATTCTCGATATCCTCAGAAATACGCTCTGAAGTGCAAGAAGTGAAAAACGCCAAACGTGAAAAGTCAAGTAGCCGTTTCCTGTTTACCGTAAACATCATGCTGAACTTCTCTGTTTGCAGCATATCTCGTGATGACAAGTACAACTGTTGTACTTTGTTTTTCATTTATTTTTTTCTGTCATTTTCGGTTTTTCTTGTTGTTGATGTTGTTTTTTTTAATCTTTTTTCGCTGATTTGAAACAAAAAGTGTTGAACGTAGAAAATACGAAGCCAAAAACTTTTTTTCACTCGCGATCAATATAACAAGTAAGCCTACACACGAAAGCATTGCAAAAGATTGTCTTCAGAGCCCACTAGAATTGCTCCACGCCTGATTATTATGCATACACGTTAGAATCACCATATATTTTTTGTTGGTGTTTTCCAATTAAACTTATAGTTTTGAAATACATTTCTTTGAGAACCGACATTTCATAAAAAGCCCATCAGTAATATTTTAGTTAAAGCTGATCCGGATGTCCCCCAAGAAATTTTCTTGAATATTGATGTTGTATTTTTCTGTCTAGCCTCTCACACTAAACGTCAACAATAAAGGCAGCTTTTAATTTTGATTACTTGTTTAGATAAGAATGCTTCCAATTTTTTCATTCCGTTGAAAATTTTTGGAACTTGTAAACTTTCCCACCCCTGAGGTCAATTTGCAATTTTGTCACTATACCTCGAAAGCTTTCACAGAAATGTTTCATCAAACGCTTTGTCTTGGAACAGTATTAATGATTGAAGGCAATTAAAGAGCCCCTGTGTTCGTAATTTTAAACGCAAGAGACGTCAAAACTTAAGAGATTGATGGGGGCGGAAAGTCGAGGAAAGCGTGATGCGCTTTATGCTAATAATTTCTTTGCGATAAAAAAAATAGTTAATAATAAATACTTTCCTTTTGGAAAGAAACACATTCTAAGGATTTCCTCTCGAAATAAGCTTAAATCAAACAATGATACCTTGAAAATAAGTAATCACGTATTGATTGCATCGCGGAATGATTTCAAATATTGGAAAAGGAACGGCGAAAAAAGTGAAGGTTAGATTTTAAAATGTAATATCAATTCTGTTCCCACTTTCGAGACCTTTTCAATGATCTAACATCTTACTGTAGTATTTGGTGAAGAATCACACAGTAGATTATGAGTATAACATGTTATATTACGGTCAGTTCTTCACAGAAATGTTATTTAAGAGGGCATTTCATATAAATCACTTCCGAAATGTTTGCCTTCATGATTCCCTTTTTAAAGCGCAACTTGAAAAAGAAACTGTATTTGTGTGAGAGACTAATTATGAAGATGCACCAGAGCAAAAGGTGAAATTTCAATGCAACTTTAATCGTATCTTACAAATATTTCAAATCCGATATTATTCCTAATGCACACAAATTACAACATCGATTCAAAGTTACCTTCCTAGGCCAGTCACACTGAAGATGTTGAAGATCTAGACGGTGCATCCGTGAAGAAATTCACAGCTGTCCAAGAATAGAAGGTAAAACTCGTTAAAATCCCTTGATCCATGATGCGACCTTTTGCCTTCTAGAGCTGAGAATTAGCCTTTCTCTGCAAAAAAAATTAAGCATTATTGCATGTGCTTGTGATTCGATGAAATCACCCAAAAGGTAGATGACGAGGTTGATAACTGAGTATTTCCGCCGCCGAAATTGAATGAAAAATTGATGTCATGAATACCAACTGACAGTCGATACAATTGACACTAAAATCCTGTCATAGACGGAAAACAAAGCGGGCGTTTTGATATATTTCTCTTTGGAGTTATTTGAAAGGCAAAAATTACATGAAAATCAATTTTTTTTGGTGAATTTCAACTCTTTGTTTACAAAAATCAGGCAATATAGTCTAAACAACGATCAAAAGATAGATTTTATCTGGGCAAAACAGCCCTCGCAAATGTGAGAAAAACTTCAATTTAAGGATGCTTTAGTAGACGGTAAGTACCATCACTTACAGATCAATAAAAATGCCAAATATTCCCTCTGAGAGATATGCATATGTATCTGAATATAAAGTCGTCGCTTTGAAGATAAGTTTAGTTTTATTTAAGATGATCGGCAGAGTTATTCCTTCTTGCTCGTTCGTAAACGATTATGGCTGCTCATTGGTGAGGCCCAATGAAAGCAAATTACTATTGTTTTCCTTACAATAAAATCTATTTTGAAATCAAGTACAACCTTTTCCTTTCCTGATAATCCCTATTCCTAAGCCGTCTAGGACAAAATCACTAATGGAAAACAAAGATGATCAGAAATGTTAAAAAAACCAGTTAAAAAACAGTATCATATTGGATTGTGAATCCGGCTCTGACATGACTATCTTTAATAAAGCTTGGTCAGACAGTAAGAAGAAGAAAATCACAAAATAAACACCTTTCAATTTCTTCTTTGTGAAACACTTTGTGTTTGATT